GTAGTAAAATTGGATAACCTTACAGAAGAGGACAATGCATTTCGGGATTATGGGAACAATCCACTACAGATGATTGGAACAATGGCAGTAACAATACAATCCAATGGCTGGAAGATACAGGCGAGGATAAAAGTAATCGGAGGGAACCGACCATCAATCATTGGACGAGATCTGATGCCCCAATTAGGACTGCAGTTGGTGCAACAAACACCGGGGGACCAGATCATGTCCATTGGAGAGGAAAATCAGGACGCACTGGAATCGGAGGGAGAGTTGGACTCCTGGCAATCCTACTTTAGTAAGCAGTTTTCAAACCTTTTTAATAGGGTAGGGAAAATAAGAAACTACAAAGTCCAAGCTGAATTTTTTGAAAATCTCACCCCAGTAAAACAGAAGGGACGTCGAGTTCCGATTTCATTACAAGAAAAAGTGGATAATGAAATTGACAAACTTTTGAAACAAGGTCATATCGAAAAACTAACAGAATGCTCGGACAAGTATTTTGTATCCCCAATAGTAATAACCGTGAAAAAAGATGGGTCCGTGAAACTAGCGCTAGAGTCGAGGGAATTAAATAAGCAAGTGCATAAGAATAAACACCAAATGCCAAATATTGAAGAACTAATGGACACAGTGGGGCAAACGATCAGCGAGAAAAAAACAGGAGACATATATTTTACCACGAAGGATCTAACATATTCATATGGCCAATAAACGCTGAAACAAGTGTACAATGTAATTTTTCTCTCATTGGAGGCCGCTCAACGGGCACGTACCGGTTCAAGACCTGATTCTACGGTCTAACTACAATGCCCGCGGAATTTCAGCGCGCAATGGATTGCATACTCGCAGAATATCCGCAGGCGCACGCGTTCATTGACGATATTTTGGTAGTAACCAAGGGAACCGCGATAGACCATATAGCAACAGTAGAGAAAATCTTTTAAAAATTGGATCGGGAAAATATGTCCCTCAAACTAACGAAATGTAAATTCGCCCAAAGGGAATGCGAATGGCTAGGCCATAAAATAACATCAACTGGAATAACTCCATTGGTCAGAAAAACAGAACCAATAGAGGCACTAACGCCGCCGCGAACTCTGTCGCAGCTAAAATCGTTCATGGGGTCAATACACAGTCTGCACAAGTATCTACCGGCGTTAGCTGAATCATCCGCGCCGTTGCGACCTTTATTAAGTAAAAACAATGAATCCATTTGGACCCCCGAATGTCAGAACGCGTTCGAAAATCTTAAGAAACAAGTGTCAAATATTGTTGAATTACGACATTTCGATATCCATAAAGACATTCGTATAGTGTGTGATGCAAGCCACAACGGGCTCGGTGCGGTTTTGGAACAGTTAGGACCAGAAGGGTGGCGCCCCACTTCGTTTGCCTCGCGATACCTTAACGAAGCGGAAAAGAAATATTCAACAAACGAATTGGAGATGTTGGCAGTTGTGTGGGGGGCTGAATATTTTCGAAATTATATACTGGGTCAAGTTTTTTGATCGTTACCGACCACAAAGCGTTAATATCCCTTTTAAATGGTAATAATAAGAAAAATAAAATGATGTTTAGCTGCTTAACGCGTTGGCTAGATCGGCTGATTCCCTTTGATTTTCGATTTGAACATAAACCAGGGGCTAAAATCGGGCTGGCGGACTACTTATCACGTCATCCAAGTAGAGAAGCAACGCCAATTAGTACGTATGATAACATGTTTACTGTGGCAAAGATCAAATTAATTTGCATCGCTCTCGGTTTTAATACATCCAAGGGATACAAATCATCCAATAATAAATCCAAGGGACCAATTTGCACAACGGAAAGTAAGAAATCTATAAATAGATTGGAAGTTTCGTCACGAAATGAATCGGTAGAGGGCGGAAAAAGATGTAAGCAGAATTCAACCAATCACGCCCAAGCACATGGTTTGAGCCGACGGCTACGCGAAATACGCACTGGATTAGTTGGTGCTATTATTAAATCGGAAGAAAGTTGTCTTAAATCATCCAATTGAAAAACTAAAATTTCTTAATCTAAATTCGAAATGGACCGAAATATGCGCAAATGGCAAAAATTCCTGAAACAGCACCCTTGTTTGAATAGCAGTAGCGATGAGATCGAAGAATTACCACCGATTGTATCATTGGAAGCCGTTACTAAAGAAACTAAATCGATCCGACCAAATACAACTCTCTCGTTACCCTCAACATTCAAAGGAGAAACAATACCACCCGTGGATCCAAATCAAATATGTATGTCAATTATCCCTCGAAATTGCAAAATTGTTAACAAAATCACATCCTTACCTGACTTGTTTAATTTAAAGTTCATAGAATCCAATTATGTTTCTGACCCCCAACTGAGCACTATCCGCGATCTTATTGTTACCCAAGATCCGGAAATTCATGAAAAAATCAGGGCAATGAACCCTTACTACGCTCAATTCGTCAACGACTTTTCAGTGAAGGAGAACCTAGTGTGGATGGATGAAAAATTAGTGCTACCCATTAACCTTCAAACAGCAATCAGCAACAGAATTCACGCATATCACCACGGAAAAACAAATATGTTTGATGCAGCAAAAGACGTCTGGTATCCTTATATTTATCGCTCAATAGCTTCCATGGCCGAAGAGTGTCCCGAATGTACCGCCGCCGGTAAGAACTTAAAAACGATTCTAAGAAAAAATCAACTTGGGACTGTACCGGAACCGAAAGAACCAAATGAGTCAGTTCAATTAGATTTTTGGGGCCCCATCAATTACTTAAATGAATCCCGAAAATATGTATCAGTGGCGGTCGACCGATTTTCTCGTTCGCCATCGGCGATGGTATGTGGAAATAATCGGTCGGATAAGATACTGAAGTTCTTAAAAAGCTACATGGGGTTACAAATCATGGGGTGCCAATTGAATGGGGTGCCAAAATCCACGTTGATCAGGGAACGAGTTTTATGTCACACGAGATTAAAGCTTTCTGTAATGGGGAGGGCATTGAAATCATTAAGTCCCCAGTAAATGACCATCGGGCAACTGGATGCGTCGAGCGTACCATTGGCAGTCTTACAAATTCTATCCTGACTTTCGCTCAAGAAAAAAATCCCGAACCCTTGGAGAAAATGGTGGAAAGGGCCCTTGGAGCCCTCAGATTTTCGAAGAATGCAACACTAAAAATCTCGCCATTCGAAGCGCATCATGGTAGAGAAGCGAACACACGAAAAACGCTTGTTTAGATGCTGCCGATCCCAATGCACAGAACATGCCCCACCCAGCGGATACAAACTGGAGTGTACGGTCGGACTCAGCCTACGACATCAATAACAGGAGTCATGCACGCCGATTAACCGAGGACCAATCCGCCAACCAACACGACGAACCGTCGATCATAAAACCCGCAAACTCCAGCGGACAACCAGGACCATCGGGATTGTTGTTCCAGCGAACCGGAAACAGGAACCTAAAAAGAAAATCGGGAGTGGCTACAAAGCCCAAATCACCAAATTCAAAGAAATCAAAAGCGACACCTAAATCAGTATTGCCGGTACCATCGACAACTTCGCGTGAAATTAGAGAGCAGGCAGCTCAGTCAGTACTACCACCGCCAACTCCGCGCGAGGTTAAAGAACGAGCAAAACAACGGCTTGGTTCGGACAAACAACGGAAAAGATCTGGGCGACAATTTGAGAACAGTGGTTCGGAATCGGAGGACAGTGAGGAATTGTCGATTATTTCAGTAAAACGGGCTAAACAACCATCAACGGACACACCATATGCACAATTAGAACAACCAGAAACAGCAGTAACAGACATGGATATGGGGAGTGACCAGGATACCATTCCAGCACGGGGCGGCGATGTGGACAAACATCCATGGGACCTAACAACGTCCAATCCAGGGGACCAAGCAAATACAACCACAACTACCAAAAAGAAGGGGCAAACATCAAAGAAAGCTAGGCTGGTATCATACAGCAGTCAGGGTGATAGCCAGGACGAAACTGCATTCACAACGTCTCGAAGAAGCGGACGAAGGAGAACTGCGGTCACGAAGATGGGAGGCGTTATGATTGACTTAAAATTGAGGGCGTTACTTCTAGTCCAAGTGCTAAAAACCTTCAAGTTGCTAAAATTCAATAACAAAGCAAGTTGAAAACGTGTAGAAGTTTTTTACGGGAAAAAAACCTTAATTCCCGAATACACGACACTTGTTTTTGCAAGTGTAATAATCATACTCACCTACAAAAAAAATTCACATATACATAGATTAGATTTAAACCACGACCATGTAAAGTAACCACCAATTCACCAACACACTTAGAATTCGAACATGCTCATTTGAACAGTTCAACTGCGAGCAAAACGTATTTAAAAAAGAAAGGGTAATCTTTCAATTAGCAATCTCGCTGATTGCTTAGCGGGAAAGAATTGCGTTACTGAAATCAAATCAAAAGTCGAACCGCGAAAAATCAAAATTTATCGTAAACAAATATGATCCTGAAAAAATCATCTTAATCTAATATTCAGAGAAAATTACGTCAATCTCTTACACTTAAAAAATCAAGAGGAAATAATGAGCCCGAAAAAAATAGACTACCCTAACCCCAATCAAAGAAAGGTTGCAGACACTCCCAACTCGACGAGTAAACAAAAACAAAAAATCAAGTGGAAATAATGAGCCCGAAAAAAATAGACTACCCCAACCCCACTCTAAAAAAATCAAGTGGAAATAATGAGCCCGAAAAAAAATAGACTACCCCAACCCCAATCAAAGAAAGGTTGCAGACACTCCCAACTCGACAAGTAAACAAAAACAAAAAATCAAGTGGAAAAAATGAGCCCGAAAAAAAATAGACTACCCCAACCCCACTCTAAAAAAATCAAGTGGAAATAATGAGCCCGAAAAAAATAGACTACCCAACCCCAATCAAAGAAAGGTTGCAGACACTCCCAACTCGACGAGTAAACAAAAACAAAAATTTTCTGTAGTAAACTTTTGAATTACAAATTGATATGGCTGAACATAAGCGGCATAAAATGAACTAGATATACAAATAAATAAACTTTTTAAGGACAATTTAACCCTGCTAGTGCGTTTAACATAATTTACGAAAATCAAATGCACCAAAATCTAATGCACATTTAGCTCAAAGCAATTTATTGTGTAATCTTTAGTTATTTGCTTGAAATAAGTCTGAAAAGCTATCAGTATCCGTTCTTTATTTCAGATGTGACGAAATTCAACTCAACAGGTATTCCTGTATGACTCAACCTGTAAAAAAGTTCATTCTTTAGCTTTTTCACATGCTGTTCACGCTTACGCTCTTTTCCATCTGAGACACACTTTTCCAAAACATCCAACAAATCTTCATCGGCGTCGTAGAAAATCAATTTGTTCACAACATGTTTACACATCAAATAATAATTTAAATCACCGGATCCATATTTGCACAACTCACTGGGTGCGTATCTAACACAATCATTGGAACAAGCTTCATGTTTATGGATGTAATAACCATCTGGCTCCTTAACTTCACGTATATCTACCGCGTGAATATCGTCTAAATCTACAGGCACGACTCTCCCGTCACTTGTCCAAACTAAGTTATCCAGCGCTGTATCCGTCATATACAGAATGAAACCACTTTTTGTGTCTGACAACGTTTCAGCTAACTTTAGCGCCTCGAAGCTAATTCTGTATCGACTCACCAAACTAGATTTCTCGAAACTCTCCAAAGGTTTTCCCATGTTTTGAACTACTGATATCTGTGGACAAACGGAAATGATTCCAGGAAAAATATTCATTAAACCAAAAATCGACGATCTCAAACTGAGAAACAATGAGTAATCGAAAACCAACGTGTAAAAATCGTTTGGTGACATTTGCCTATGCAATCTTCTCGACGGACATAATCCAAAGGTTTCCAAAAACTTCATTTCCAGTCCTTTTTTGTAAGTTCTTTCCAGTTCTTGGTATGCACGTTTGTCTTCGCATTTATGCTCTCCGCCTATCCACTTGGCCAACAGAGCACATTTTTCGTCTCTGTTTTTCACTGTTTTCGCCACTGCAGGTTGATTGCGAAAGGTGCCGAAGAAGACGTGACCATGACTCATTTTTTCCATTTTGAACTCTCGGCACGATGAAAATACTCCATAGCAAGCGGGACACTGGGAGGCGTCCACTAAACTATTTATATCGTATTTTGCATCTAAACAAGCAGCACCTCCCTTTGAGAACTCTCTGAATCACCATTTTAAAAATCAAAAACGTTGCTGTGGAGTCATTAACAAAACAATGAAAAAAAAACCTGCAAGAAAAGCCAAAAATATCCAAAACAAAATGGCTGAAACATTAAAAACTCTACAAAGAGCTTCGGTGAATGCTATACAGTAACCAAAGTTTCAAAAAAAAGTCCTTTCTGCGGATCTAAGCAGACAGATAACTTAAATTAGCCAAAAGTTTCTGTGTGCAAAAAAAAACAAGTCTCAACTGGAATCGAACTCCGAGGCTTTGTCGTTTCAAGCATGGGGGTTACAGCAACTTGAAACAAGTTTAAAACATCGAGCTACGAAACTAACCTGACTAAAATAAACAGACGGTCCATAAACCGAAAAAGCACAACAACTCTAGTTTGCAAAAATGGGCCCAGCCGGCTTCTAATCACCGGATGGGTGATCAAATTTGAATTTATAATAAACAAACAGTAACAAAGCCGAAAAAACCTGAAGAGAAACCCTTCATGCCGAAAAGAAATTCAAAAAATTTCTTAACTTATAAAAAAAAAGTATTAAGTCCGTTTTCTCCTCAGATCACACACGCGCAAAAATTTTTTTTGCGGTCTTAACGAGGCAATAAAAAAAGTAGTAAAAAAGTTATATTTTGCAAACCGAGCTGGTAAAATTAAAACCAAAGTGAAAAGCAAAGTTCGATTCGGCTTTTTAAAAAGCTAAAAACAACAGCAGTTAAAAGATGTTACATCTAAAATAAACGATGTTATGATGTGGCAATAAAGCCGACAAAACATAAGCAGACAAATAATAGACCAATTTTTTTTTTTGAACCGAAATTTCTACCGGTGGAAAAACGAACTGGTCCTGGTCAGGTCCGAACACAGGACCTTTGCCCTCCAAGGCATATTCGTTAGCACCAGCCTAAGTAAGCAAGAGACATTACAAAATTTGAATTCATTCTGCACCAAGGTACCACCAGGAGTCCAATGAAATTGAAGTTAAACAAAAAATTGTTAAGTTTTAAGCCCCACCTGGAACTACAATGAACAACACTTGCAACTACTATTAAAGTTGCTCACAGCACAAGACAAATCAGTAAAATAGCAACTAGCCCTTCTTGCAAAAAAAGAATCTTTCAAGTTCTCCTCTGATACTAGAATGAACAACAGTTGCAATGAAAATTGAAAACAGAACAAGCAAAATCCGCGATGCATCAACTGAGCTGACAAAACTCCAACAGAAAATGATAATCCAACAATTTCAATTTTAACCAATTTTTTTTCAACTGCAGAAAAACTGAAAAAAAGCAAGGTCCGGCTGTGATGCGAACGTCAGACCTTGCAAAGGCAACTGCGTTACCCCTAGAACGATTGGGAGAAACCTGAACGATATTAGGGTTCAATATAAAAGACACAGAGGCGAAGTGATAGCATGGAAAAAGCATCACAAGCTAGCAGAGAGGAAAGAATATTGGAGCCACTAAATCCGAAGAATGCGGAAAAATTATCCAAAAAACATGTCCAGAAGCACGTCAAAAACACAATTGATAGCGTTTGAAATTTCAAAAAAAATTATCGAGCGAAAATAAAATTTTGTCATGTAAAAGAACTTTGAACTATAATTAAAAGAACTTTGAACTATAATTTCTATTCTGAGATTTTTAACAATTTGTGCAATCCAGAGCAAATTATGCAAAATATAGTTCCCTCAAACTACTCAATATTAGGATAATACGCCGATAAAATATAAGTCGAAACCATTCATGCCGAAAAAACAAATTGCGGGAGTAAATGAAAACAGAAAGCAACTACAAGGAAAACTGCTCACAGCAAAAAGTTTCTGCAGAAGCGAAGCTGAGCTTCGCACCACTTGCGATACAAAACAAGAAAGCCACTAAGTTGAAAAAAAAATCAAAAATTTCGAAAAAAATCAGATCTATCGATAAGGCTAATTTTGAAACAAAAACGAGCCAGGACAATATCATGTGAAACTATCGGACAGTAACAAAGCCGGAAATACCTTTGCAGAAACCCTTTAGAGACCGAAAAAATTAACAAAAAATTTTCAAGTCACCCATACCCTCAACCAAACAAACATACAAACACAAACTTGATTCACGCGTCAAATGAAACAATATGGCCGAAAACTATTAGGCCGAAAAAAAGGCAATAAAAAAAACGAAGCCGAAAAAAATTTAAGAAAAATAAAACGTTAATTAGTCCCCCTGACCCTCAAAACACATACACCGCTCGTGAAACCACACAAAATGAGGCGACTGAGCAGATTTAATTTGGGTCGAAATCTACCAAGCCGAAAAAAGGAAAAGATGAACAAAAAACAACAAACATTTTAAAGGGTAATAAGAAGTTATTAAATCTCCTTCCCCCTCAAAACACAGACACCCACACACAAATTTTTTCGCCCATCGAATGGCGCAATGTGCGAACATTGAACCGATATAAAAAAGAACGAAGCTTATCAAGCCGGGAAACAAGGAAAAAGCCGAAAAAAAATTGTTGTCATGAAAAACTTGACTATAATTTCTGTTAACACTTTTAGCAATTTGTGCAAAAAAAATCGACAAGATTTCAGACTTAAAAAATTTCCTCTCCTTCTCAAAACCCTCGAAAACATTTTTTGCTCATCAAATGAAACAATATGAGACAAATAAGCCGATATAATATAGCCCGAACCCTATTAAGAACAAAAAAAACAAAAGAAAAAAATTGCAAAAAACTTTAAGACTAATAAGAAGTTATTAAGCCCCTCGCCCTCAAAACACAGACACACACTTTTTCTTTTCGCTCGTCGAAGGATGCAATATGAAGCCAATAAGCTGATATAATACAGGCCGAAACCTATCAAACCGAAACAAAAAGGGAAAAAGGCGATAAAAAATGTCTTGAAAAATTGTAGTTATATTTCTATTAGGATGTTTAGCATGGTGCACAGTCCAGAGTTAAGCATAAATATTTGTTTTCAATGAACCGACTCGATATTAGGTCTCTAAGGCAATAAAAGATAGGCAAAAACCATTAGTGCAGAATAACTTTTTTAATATATATATTTACGATAACAAGGCTAAAAAAAAATACAAACAAACAGCAGAGATAAATGAAAATACAAAAAGCATCTATAATGTAAAAAAATCAAATAAGCATTTTTGTTGGATGGTAAAAACAAAACGGAAACTAAGCTAAAAAAACACCGAAAAGTCCAAAATTCAAAAAATACCAAAGAAATCATTGTAACAATCGAACTGCAAATTTATTGGACAAACACTAATAAGGACGCTCAGTGAGAGTAATAGAGCAATGCAAGCAAATATACGCACATACTGTATGCACGTCTTGTACTGCATTCAGGCTGCAACCTGTGGACAAAGTTGTTTACGGGAAAAAAAAGGTCTAGTTCCCGATTGCAATACCTTGCTATCGTAAGGGTAAAGATGTGGCAAACTCTAAGCCGACAAATGATCAGGCGACCATTTTGATGAAGTGGAACAATTCCCGTTTGAAAACAAAACAGATCCTACTGAGATTCATCCCGGACCTTTGTTGTCCCAGCCCTATTCGTTATCTCCACACAAAGTGTAGGTAACTTAGAAACTTGAATTCAATATGAACCAAGATACCGAGTGATTCAAATGATGCTGTTAAACAAGTTTTTAACCCGAAAAAAGTATATTTTATCAATTTGATAACGCTTGCTGATCGCAAGCGTAATTATATAATGCGCGGGGAATCCTAAAAAGAAAATCACTTTCGAAACTAAGGATGATTAGAAATCTTTTGTCAGGCATTGGCAAACTCATACAAACATCCCTCAAATTTATATGTCAATAACAAGGTTTTGACATCTACTGAAAGCACAACGCAAGGTGATCCCCTCGCAATGGCTATGTACGGAATTGGGATAAACCCACAGATCGAGCTCCTGCAAAAACCAAACGTATCCCAAAAATGGTACGCAGATGAAGGAAGAGCTGCAGGTGATCTTGAGAGTCTCCGCGCAATTCTGGACAACCTGGATGTGCTTTCGGAAACAATGTGAAGCCTTCCAAGTGTCAACTCATTTGTCGGAAAACCGTCGGGAAAGCGCCATAAAGATATTCGAAGGCACAAATATTACAATGGAAGACGGTTTTAGAAACCTCGGATCGATTATAGGAACACCATCAGCACGCGATAAATACATGAAAAGCGAAATTGAAAAAACCTAACTGAAAAGCTTTCCAAAATAGCTGAACCATCCCCACAAAATGCCTACTCCTGCTACACAGAGGGAGTTAAAAATAAGTTAAGCATATAAGACTCCGGAAGCATATAAGACAATGGATGAAATTGAGAAAAACGTTAGACAGCAGCTACTTCCCAGTATCACTGGTAAAACCATATAACCGATGAAGATTGCAGCCTTTTTGCAAAACCACTCAGAATGGGAGGATTAGAACTCCTCAGTAACACGAACTTTTCCAGAAAACATGAGTGGTCACGAGCCATTTGTGATCCATTAAAAAACAGTGATCCAGAAATTTTGTTGTTGTTGTTGTTGTTGTTGGGGATTCACAGCACTGCTGTTGGGAGTCTTGGTCCCGGCGTCTTCTCTAAAACAATGTCCACTTGTTTCTGCACGTGATACAATCACAGAATAATTGCCACGTGCACGTTGTCATTTCTGAAAATCTCTCGTTTACAAATTTCCACATCGTGTTTAAAATTCTCGTCTTGAGGCCGATTCGTTTATCAAAATGAATATATGGTTCTAATCGATTTACAATCCTACTGGTTCTGAAAACAAATTCGTTTCTCGCTTTTTCCGTTCTCACTTTTCGCATCTCAAAAATTTCTATATTTCTAGCCCGTGTGGTTCGCCTGTTTAACACTATTTCATTTCGTTCATTAGAATCAAGACTGGCAAGAAGTAAGATGTTATTTAGCTGGATGAACATGGGCAGGGGTAAAATGTTTAGCAAGCGTAGTTCGTTGATGTACACTCCCGTTTTATTTCCAGTGATCCACCGGATTGCTTTCTTTTGAAATCGCTCCAACTGCAATTGATCCCCCCTCGATATATGTGTACATGAGAGTCCGTATAATAACACTGGGAGTATTAGTGACTTATACAGGCCTAACTTTACAAACGTATTTATCTTTGCTGATAGGTTTCTTCTCAGGAGGTACAGTACTTGGTTTGCCTTCTTTAATCTTGTTTCAATGTGTACCTTCCAACTTAAATCGCCCGACACAAAAATTCCCAGATCTTTCACAACCATCGATGTTCCAAGCACTACACCAAAAAGCATAGAGTTGGCGTCTCCGCCCCTAAAACTTACTTTTGCACATTTATCTAGTGCTAATTCCATTTTGTTTTCAGTTACCCACTGCTGAATTTTGTCCAGATCTTCTTGAATTTCAATTGATGTTTTTTTGATGGAAAGTAGTTTAAGATCATCCGCAAAAATATATGGTTCAGAGAATTTGAGTACTTCAGGTAGGTCGTTAATAAAAATGCAAAAGAGCAGTGGTCCTAAAAGTGATCCTTGGGGAACACCACTAGTGACTTCTAAAACTTTTGAGCTGATATTGTCTACTCGTACAAACTGTTTCCTGTTTTTCAAATAGTCATAGAGTACCTCTAACATGCAGCCTCCTATTCCTATAAGTGCAACTTTCTTGAGTAGATCAAAATGCGGAACTTTATCAAAGGCTTTTGCAAAGTCAGTGTAGACTGCTACAATTTCTGCGTTTGAGTCATTGTCAAGCGCTTCATATATTTCTTTCAGGAAGGAGAGCATGTTTGTCAAAACTGATCTACCTTTAGTAAAACCGTGTTGATGTTTCGTCAAATACCAGGCAAAGTAAGGGTACAGGTCTTTGTATATACATTTTTCAAGGACTTTGCTGTCAATATTTAATAGCGATACTGGTCGATAGTTGTTCACCAATTTTCGGTCACCTTTTTTGTGAACAGGAGTAACTGCAGCTGTTTTCCATGAATCAGGTATTTTTCGTAGGCGTTTTACGTTTCTCAAAATTTTGTTCATCGGTTTGCATATATTGCGGTTCGTTTTCTGAAAAAAGCTAGGTGGCAACCCATTTGGGCCGCGTGACTTTGTTACGTCCAGAGTTGATAAAATCTCACTTACTGTCTTTTTCGATATATCAAAATTCGTTAACAAGGGATTTCCAAATTGAATATCTCTAATACTAAAACTTTCTTTAGGATTAAAAACTGAATGAAAGAAGTCGTTTAGCATGTTGACTTAATCGTTTGGATTTGTGCTTTCAACTTCATCTTTTATGAGTAACTTAGGAAGACTTGTATGTTTATTCAAGTTCTTTAGGTGTTTAAAAATTACATTAGTGTTCCGTGTTCTAAACAATTCCTCTTGGTAGTTTTTCCTGTCCACTTCCGATGATTCAGTTACTAAATTTTCAAACAGTTTAACTTGTTGTCTTCTGTAGTTGGTCGGTTTGAGTATACATGATTGCCGTTTTGTTTGTAACTTTTTGATCAAATTTGAAGTGCTACTTGTTATCCAAGGTGGAAGTGATTGCCTATGTCTTGTTCTGAGAGGCACAAAACTCTTAATGATTTCATCCAAATATTGGGTGTACTCCTCATGCATTTTGTTAATGTTTGTGTGGCATACTGGTTCAAATGGGTTCTCGTTTATAAAATTGTTTATTCCTTCAAAATCGGCATTTCCAAAACTTCTAAAATTTTCCAAGTATGGTTTCGGCTCTGATACCGTGCATTCAATAGACAACATTATGGCATTGTGATCTGAGCAGTCATAAATCTTGGAAACGTTAAAATCTTGTTCGGCACTTGTATAGCAATTCCGATAGAAGGCTACGTCTAGTATGTTCTTCACACATGTTGGGAAATCTATCGCCTGCCTAAAGAGTCCATTTTCAAAAATTTGCAGTATTTGGTTTTCTTCCTCGTCAGTACTGGTGAGGGTGTTCCAGTTTGTTTCTGGGAAATTTAAATCCCCACATAAGAGAAACGGTTTGTTTTTAGGAATGGCTTTGATCAGTTGTTCAAATTCATGCACTTTGTATCTGTAATTACTGTTTTTTGGCGGATTGTAGAATGAGCCAATTATCATTTCAGTTTGATGAAGTTTTATACTACATAGCACACATGAATCAGGAATGTCATGTTTGGTGGATAAGTCCTCGGTAATTAGACTATTCTTGACAGCTATTAGGCTGCCTCCGTGACAGTTTTTACCACTCACAATAGCTCTATCAGATCTATAGATGTTATATTCACTTAGAAAAAGCTCTGATGATTGAATATTCTCGTTAAGCCAAGTTTCGCTTAAGCATATGACATTAAAATTTCCAACTGCAATTGCATTTGCTAGCTTAGTTCTTCTCTCTATGTTGATTAGGCTTCTAGTATTTAGTTGCAGAATGTTGAGGAATCCTAGTCAATGCTGGGGTTCCTGAACTTCAGTGTCAATAGTTACTTTCACACCATCATTGAACAATTCTAGATTCCTTATTTTCAGCTTTTCGCGAGGAACGCCTTCATCTAGTAGTTGTCTTCGTTTCTTAAGGATTTCGTTCTCTTTAATTGCACTCTCTTTGGTCAATGCTGGTAGCAGGTAGACCTCTTTTTCGACCAATTGTTCTCGCTTTTCTCGGCTTTTTGCTAGTACTAGTCGTGCTTCATGTTCGCTAGGTACAGTTACCAGCAGTGTTCTTGGCTTCATTCGATTACGATCAAATTTTCCCAGTCGTTTTAGTTCTATTATTTTCGGCTTCACTCCAATTATGTCTAGTATTTCGTTTACTTCGTCATTTGTTGGGACAAGGTTTTCTCCTTTTGTTTTCTCAGGGTCCTCTTTGACCCCTTGTATCCTAAAACTTTGATTTATGTTGTGATCAGAGTTAGATCTGGCAGCATGTTGAGTGGTTTGAGCTTGATTTATCCGGGTGGTGGTTTCAGCAGCTACAACGGCACTATAAGTTTTTTCCACTTTATCGCATGTCGTTTTCATTGCATTTCCAATTTTTTGATCTACTAAATCGGTAAGTCTTCTTTCCATGCTTTTAAGGCTTTCAGTTACATCAATGTTTGAGAGCTTCTCGTCTATGTTGGCCAGGGTTTTGCATCTTATAAAGTTGTCTCGTTCATTATTTTGCACACAAGTATTACAAAGCAACATGACATTCGGCCCTAGTTCTTTTATTCCATTTATGGCCACTAGAGACAACCCAACACAAGTTGGTTCCAAATGCATTTGAGCGTTGCATGCGACACAAGTGTATGTTTTCTCGTTGCTGGCAAAGCCTCTTTTACATGTTTTGCAGTTTTTGCCCATTTTTGCTTATACTATGGATAGAAAAACAGTTAAGCCTGGTGGTTCCCGAAAAGGGGAGGCCTGTGGCTCACTCAGGGGAAAAGAAGAAATAGACAAACCTGGTGGTTCCCGAAAAGGGGAGGCCTGCGGTTCACTATTTCTACTTACGTTAATAGGGGCACTGACAGTTCTTGAAACGACACTCGTAATATACCAGATGTCCTTCTGTATTGCAGATGTTCGAATGTTTATCGTATAAGATTTTATTCTTGAGAATACTTTTAATGCCCTTCAGACCTTCTTCACTGAGGTGCACTTCGTCAGTTTTCAAATGATATGAGCTGTGGATTTTTTCACTCACTCCTCTAAACTTCCAAGTTCCTTTTATCTTTCTTAGGAATTCGTTTATTTTTGCAGATCGAGCTCGGTTCTCACTACGATGAGGGATTCCGATGACGAAAACTTTTTTGGCTCGTTCACACAGCTCCTCGGCTAGCTTCGACAGTTCTTCAGCAATGTCGCCTGCAGGTATACTGGAGGGGTCTTTTCCGTTGAAGGCGTCGTTTCCGCCGATGAGCAGAGCGATGATGTTGAATTTGTCTTTCTCGGGTAAGAAGTTTTGGACCGCACCAATTCGGGCCCCAGGTAGGGACAAGATATTGAAATTTGGAAAATCAAGATGGCGTGCTTGAGAATCCGCAATCAGGAGATTTTTTGAAGATGATGTCTTGAGCAAGTGATATCTTCTGTCGGACAATTTCATCGCGGGGCAACCATTGCTACCCCGGTAAACATTTCAACTATCTGAAACTATTTAATAAGTTTATCACAACAATTAGGAAATAGTGGAAACGGAAAAAAACTCTAATAAATAGAATCAAAAAAACTGAGAGAAAGAACATCACACTCTCAAAAAAGGATAAAATTATGACAAATCTGAGTTTAAAGATGGTTTACATCTGAGATATGGATGGGAACCATCACACACTCCACATACATGCCCATGTGGACAACCATTCACACTGACTCACTCTCTACACTGTCCTTAAGGTGGATACACTCACCTAAGACATACTGAAACTCGCGATACCGTTGCGACACTCCTAGACGAAGTATGCCATGATGTTGAAATAGCGCCGAAACTTCAATCGTTGGAAGGCGAAAGCTTTCACAACAAAACAACCACTACTGAAGATGACACTCGACTTGAAGAGGACTTGAACAACCACTACAGAAGATGACGCTCGATCATGTAAAACAGACACGCTCGATTTGAACAACCACTACTGAAGATGCCGCTTCACTACTGAAGATGACGCTCGATCATGTAAAACAGACACGAAAAAAAAATTGAGTGTAAAAAAACTTTGAGAAAGATATTTTGTTGTTTTTCGTATAGAAAATGTGGTTTTAAAATCCAGACAATTAAGCCCATAATGACTTTTATATTCTCGAAACAGATAAAAGTAGGGACATAAACCACCAACTGAAAAAATTGTAAAACACCTTTGAAAAACAAAACGAGAAAGTTCCAGAAGGCTTTACAGCTGACAAATTTACTTCAAAAAGTTGTTCAATAAACCTAAAACTGTTTGATGAAATTCATGTTCGAGAAGTAACTTAATGTTCACCCCTCCATTTAAAAGAATTTAAATAACCGATGTAATTGTCTGGCTTAAAAAAAAAGGAAACTAAACTAAGACGATTGAAAATAAAGGGAAAGCGCCGAAGCCAAAACACCAAAAATGGTGCTATTTTACTTGTTCGGTCCCGTGACAAAACTAGTTTACATGATTGATCCCTCCTATTGATTAAAAACAAAAGCATAGGGATTCGCACCTTCGTTTTTATTAGGGACCACAGTAATTTTGAGGGACCAAACAAGAAAACTAGTACCCCAAAACTAACAGAGAAATTTCACTAAACGCGAATGTAAATGGAAAAACACAATAAGGGGGCTGCATAGAACGCATGTTCTTGAAACATTTCCTGGATGCATTTAGACAAAGAAAAACTTTAGAATTAAAAAGAAAAGAAATTTATGGTTGTAAGCTTTCGCTACCTATTTTAACTTTGGCATTATCTTTTGACAACATAGTACTCAACATGACCAAGTTAACATAGCAAAAAGACAACAAAAGTCAATAGAATAAAAAAGATGAACCCTAAATATGGCCTACACCCCAACAAATTTGTGATAAAAATATGAGAAATTCGATTTTATAATATCAATTGACGAACTACGGGACCATCAAGTTGATAAAAAAAATTGATCGAAACCGTTCGAAAAACATAAATCTCATCTATAAAACGGTAATTAACAGTGATTGCAATGAAATCTTACAAGTCATTAGATTTGAATATTCAAAAACTGAGCACGTCACCAATTCTTACAGCCGCCGAGCATCAGATATTTTTAATGGAAAAGAGTCCAGCTCTCACAAGTGAAAAAAGGAAGCTTTAATTTCCTTATCTAATAATTAAGACGCAATAGGGTACATACCTGGAACATAAGTAGGCAAGAAGTCAAGGTAGAGGACAATATTTAGAAGCACGAAGAGGAGACAAAAGCAAAACCCACATAACACAATCTGGCGAGATGAGAACTTTCTCAACATCCCATCCTGAAAAAAAGCTCTTGTCTACCAAACTTGTGACTTATCAGAAGATTCTACGTCTTCCTTCCCCGTTATCAGATAATTCAACGATTCTGGCACAATTAAAAACTTTTTCCTTTCTCATCCTTATTTGTTGTTGTTGTTGTTGTGAATTTTCAGTAGGATACTGATGGGATGATATCCCCAAAGTTCTCAAAATTTTGTCCAGTTATTTCGGCACATGCTGCAGTCAAAGAAGAGGACCCATGTGCACTTGTTTTGTTCTGAGAATTGATCGTCGAAAAAATTCCACATCGTCTGTATCAATCTTCGCTTTAAACCTCGCATTTCTCGAGATTCAATTTTCTGATTTAGTCGGTTTATTAGACGGCACGTCCTGAATGTAAACTCTCCTCTAGCTTTTTCAGTTCTGGTCTTGTTTAGGTTGAACATGTCTTTCGTTCTTCCTGGATTTTCAATTTTTGCTGGGAGCTTAATGTGATCGTTTTCTTCATGCATGAATTTCGCCATCATCAGTAACTCGTTCAGCTGGAGAAACAACGCCAGAGGCAGGATGTTTAACAATCTCAGCTGCTCTGTATAGTCAGAATCGTTTCCCGAGATCCATTTTAAGACTTTCGTTTGGAACCTTTCTTATCTCCATAAGTCGCTTCTTGAGATATTGCAAATAATTAGACCATACGTTAGAACAGGAAGTATTAAGGATTTGTACAGACCAAGTTTTATGCGCATTTTGACTTTGAATTCTAAGTTTCTGCGGATGCAAAACAACGTTTTATTCGCTTTCGACATTCTTGAGTCAATATGGGTTGTCCATGTTAAATGTTTGGGCACATGTGTTCCTAGATCCTTTATCACATTCGAGCTTTCCACTGCTGTTTCACAAAGAATGAATTCGTGTTGATTTCCTCTAAATTCGACTTTAACATTTGTCCAGTGCCAGACTCATCTTGTTTTTGTCTACCCAGTTTTCAACGCTTTTTAGGTCCTGCTGGATGTCCTTTGTGTCTACATTCACTGCTAGTAATTTTACGTCGTCTGCAAAGATAAATGGGTCACTAAATTTCAATACTTCAGAAAATCATTTATGAAGATACAGAAGAATAATGGACCAATCAACGATCCTTGTGGTACGCCACTTGTAATTTCTAAAGTTTCTGATGAGAAATTGTCAGCACGAACAAATTGTTTCCTGTTGCTGAGATAGTCTGCGATTATTTCAAGGAAACAGCCTCCAACTCCAATGTTGCTCATTTTCTTTAGTAGTTCATAATGTGGGACTTTGTCGAAGGCCTTAGAGAAGTCGGTATAGAATGCAATCACATGGTTTTCAGCGTTCTTGTCAATTGTTTCGTAGATTTCTTTCAAGAAAGATAACATGTTTGTAACAACTGAACGGTTTTTAACAAAACCGTGCTGACTTCTTGTGAGAAATTTGATGAAATGGTCATACAATGCTGGATACATGCATTTTTCCAGGAGTTTACTCATGATATTTAGGAGTGACACCGGCCGGTAGTTTTCCATTAGTCGTTTGTCACCTTTCTTGTAAATAGGCGACACAACCGCAAATTTCCATTTATCTGGTTTTTTCCTTACCCTCTTGATGTTTTTAAAAACGCAATGCAAAATTGTGGTCATTTCTCTGGCCGTTCGCTGGAAGAAAATTGGTGGGAATCCATCTGGGCCCCGCAATTTTGTTATATCCAGCTCTGTTATAATTTGGTTTAAATATGTTTTTGAGATACTGAAATTACTCAATATCGTGTTTTTGCACTTCATGTCACTGAGGTTGAAGCTTGATTTGGGCAAAAAGACAGAGTGAAAATAATCATTCAAAAAGTTAACTTTTTCTTTGGCTTTGGAAACAGCTATTTCGTCCTTGATCATAGTCTTTGGGAGAGTTTCTGATTTTTTCAGACTCTTAAAGTGTTTGAAAATTAAATGTGTGTTACGAGTGGACATCAAATTTTCCTGATAGTTTACTCTATCTTCCTCTACTGCTTCTTCCACCATTTTATCTAGAGATAGAATGAGATTTCTGCGGTACCTTGTAGGTTTCAATTAGTATATTCTAGTTTGTGCTCGCAGCTTGTTCATGATGTTTGAGGTACTTGGCGTAACCCATGGCGGAAGTGATTGGCGACGTCTCGGTCTTCTAGGCACATGTTGGTTTACCAAATTTTCCAAATAGCCGTAAAGTTCCTCGCACATTCTATTGATGTTTGTGTGACATACTGGTGAGAAAGGCTCACTTAGTATTGATTTCTTGATTTCGTTATAGTCCACGCTACCGAAGCTTCGAAAGTTTTCAATAGCGACTTTTACCTCATGGTGAGGAAATTCAATTAGAATGCTGATTGCTTTGTGGTCGCAGCAATTGTAAATTTTTGAGAAATTTTCGTCAGTAGTTGCATGAATGTGACAATTTTCGAATAATGTAATGTCTAGGGTGTTTTTGCCACAAGTTGGAAAATCTACTGCCTGCTCGAACTGATGTTGCTCGATTAGTTCAATTATTGAGTTTTCTTCATTTTCCGCGCTACTATAGTCAATCCAGTTTGCATTTGGAAAATTTACATCTCCGCAAATAATTTTTGCAGTTGATTGATTTGATTTCTCGATTTCATTTAATATTTGTGCGAAATCGCCTAGACAGTAGCGATATTTGCTGCTCGAAGGTGGATTGTAAAAGCAGCAGACAATAATTTGCTTATCGTTTATTTGGATGCTGCAAGTTAAACAACATTCAGGTTGCTTATTTGGCACTAATTTAGATGAAAATGTTTGTTTCACTGCCATTAGTACTCCACCGTGCAAATTTTGATCTTTGGCTGTTTGTCGTTCTGATCTATAAATACTGTATTCATTTAGCATTAATTCAGATGATGCAATGTTTTCATTTAACCAAGTCTCGCAGAGACATATTATGTCATAGTTTGATGTTGCTATAGCATTTGCAAACTTCATTCGTCGTTCGAGATTTATGAGACTTCTTACATTCATTTGCAGGATGTTGAGAAAGCCTAGTCAAGCATCATCTGCTTGTTCTGCTTCTATCATCTCTTTTTTCCCATCATTGAATAGCTCGAAATTCCTGATTTTGATTTTCTCCTTTGGAACTCCTTCGTCTAGAAGTTCTCTTCGTCTTTTTAAGCATAGGTTTTCCTTCCTCGCATCTTCTTTCGATAATGCTGGCAGAAGGTAAATTTCCTCATCTCGCAGCTCATCTCTTTTTTCGAAGCTCTTTGCCAATACCAATCGTGCTTCATGTTCCGTTGACAGAGTTATTAATAAGGTTCTTGACTTGATGCGCTCTTTGCTGAATTTCCCTAGCCATTTTATTTCTTCAATTTGTGGTTTAACTCCTAACTTTTTTAGTACCTCATGTACTTTTTCGGTTGTGGGGACAAAATTTTTGCCTTCTGATTTCTCGGGATCTTCTCTGATCCCCTGTATACGGAAGCTTTCATTGATATTATGATGTATTTCTTGTTTTACTTCTTTTCCAGCTCCTGGTTGAGCTTTCATATCTTTAACAGGTTTCACACTGAGTACATCTGCATAGCTTTTTTTCCAGTTTTTCGCGTGTGGTTTTTGTAGCGTTTTCGACTTTTTCATCAACCAATGCCGTCGGCCTTTTTTCCATATTTTCAAGACGTGCTTGTATTCCCTCACTCTCTTTTTCAATTTTCTCGTTCATTTGCATCATGGTCCTACACTTTATGAGGTTATCTCTTTCGTTATTAGTTACACATGTGTCGCATAGAAGCATTGCGTTTAAACCCAAGTCTTTTATGCCATTGATGGCGGTGTTAGTAAGACCAGTGCAGGTGCTCTCAAGATGCATTTGAGCATTGCAAGATACACAACTGAAACATCTGTCCCTGGCATTTATGGGTTTTTTGCACGTTTTGCAATTTTTAGTCATATTGGTGGATACAGAGAGAAGGAGAAAACTGATAATCTCAGAAATATATAAACAGAGCAACCGAACTACATTTGCGGTAAAATGGTTGAAAAAGCAGCGGCAAATTGCTGTTCGCAATTTCCAGACATAATATCACACGAGAGTAGAGCTGTCTTATGAATACAGAAGGCAGAGCGATCACGAACAAAGAAGAGATAGATTAGAAGTGGACCAGAGTGAACCTTCGATGGAAAGGTGCACAAGCGAAGTCTCCCAATGGTCCAGAACCAAAACTTATTTCTTGAGCTGAAACTGACTTATTCAAAACTTCTGGAATTAAACTTGATTAGCCATTTATGCTAGAGTTGCTGGTTAATTTAGTTACTTCAATTCTAGAGTGGGCCGGCATGCGAGTACTCAATTTAAAATTCGTGAGTTTGTTTTATAATTGTTATGTTGAGGTAGGGAGAGTTTTAGGTTCATCCATCTGAAATGGATCAAAGTTTCACTGTCTAATAAAAAAATAACTGTACGGACTGTTCCGACCCTGTTTTTAACAGCGTTCGCGTATTTTGGGTATTTAGAGACCTAAGTATGGGGACGCTCTTTTTTTCTAGAGTGAGGGGTATTTTGGTAGTGGCCTTTAAGCTGTAACGAGGGTTTTAGTCTCATGTCGCAAGTGAACCGAATTGGCTCCGACCGTTTGAGGTAGAAAAAAAACAAGAGATAGTGTCCCTGACTCTAGAGATAGTGTCCCTGACTCTTGAGCCAATGGTTATAGGGTCTATTTTTCTGTAACCTCATATGCGACTTAAGTTAAAGTTTTTCGCTCAGTTTTTTTGCTGGTTTCTGGACGGTTTTTGTGGAGCCTGGTGCTGCTCCTCCGGTAAGCGCAAAAATTAGTGGAACAAAGCTGCTGTGTTCCACATCCAGAATTCCTTGTTGGTATTTTAATGTTTTGACACTCTCATGATGTTTTTAGGCGTCAGATACAGTTTTAGGGCAGGATTTAGCATGGGGGTTGAAAATTCTTACATCGAAAAGTTCGATTGAATCGGCCTCCCAAGAATCTATTTGCCTTGATTGTAACAA